CGGAGACAAGCTGTACTTAGCCCTGTTAGCTGCCTCCCCCGATCCCATCATCAGTGGATTGACCGCCTCGGCTCAGTCAGCTCGTAATTCCTCACCATAAGCAATCTGACGCACTTAAGACTATCACGGAACACTGAGAGCCGTGGCTTGGCAGGTTATCGACTGACGCTTTAACTCAGATCACGCGGTCACCCTAGAAGGTGTTGAGTGTGCGTTGTGTGACCGAATGATGGATTGAGCTTCAGCCTGAGATGGTTCCTTCTTAATGGCACATTCACACTTGTGAGATTCGAGCCGCCTTCACCCCGCTGTAGGTAGTCCTGGTGTGTGCGTTTTCAGGGCAAGTCGTGTGTGTGGGGCGCGCAGACGGGCTCTGTAGTTTTGTCAGCCACTGCAGCCACCACCAGCATCGGAGGATTCATCGGCTCGGAGAGCGAACTGGCGATCGAGAGGGGGAATCGAGCGTGATGTCGAAGGTCTCGGCGCACATGCCCCACTACTAACAATCTGACGCGCATGAACCTATCACGGTATGCTCAGAGCTGTGGCTTAGAAGGTTGCGAACTGACGGGATAAATCGGTCCTCCGCAGAGGATGCAGAGTGAGGCTTCAGTGGGTCGCAGGTAATGCGACCTTCATGCCACTCTCACTCATTTGTGATCTGAGACTTCCCCTCTTTTCATGTAGCATAAAATCCTGGCCTGATGGTGGACCAAGCCACCTGCATCTCCTTCCGGGCCCAGGTGGACAGGTGAGGATAGGATGCGGTAGATACGGTGCAAGTCTGTCATTAATTAATCTGCAAGTTAACAACCCTGCTCCCCCTCTACTGTGGAGTACACGGTGGACATCGTCGGCAACGGCTGTCGTCGCCTCAGAACTGATCGCTAAAAAATGAATATTGCGGCTATCCTTGAGACTCCGTTCTCTTCTGGCGGATACCTCCATTGCCAAAACGCAATTAAGGAAGTTGTTGGATGTCATCCAGGTCATCCAGTGCCAGTCCGTGCAGCAACACCAGGATTGGCTTGCTGCCAACAACGTAAGAATCCTCATCATCCTCTCTGACAAAAAGAAGCCTCACACGACCAACATCATCACCAGTGAAGGCCGAGATGTTTGCAGAACGAAGGGCTGGCCTGCAATGCTGAGCAAGTAAGCGGAAGGTGACGAGATAAAACAATTCGTGCCGACTAATAGACCGTCTAAGTTTCACCGCAGTTCAATTACAACAGAGCGATACTTTGGATGAAGAAATCGTAAATTATGATGCCCTGAGCCGAGCACTTCCGAATCGTTCTTCATATGTCTCCCGAAATCTCAGACAATGCCACCAAGTAGAAACCAACACTAATCTCGACCGCCCACACTCGAGAGAAGCGAACGCTAACACCGTGCATCAGATATTCAGCGGCGAAACTTCGGGAGCGGCCTGTCTTCCATCTGAAAGTTATAAACACGGCGACCCGTGGCTGATAGACGACAAGAACAAGTCAACAAGAACCCCAAAAATCAAACAACTAAATAATAATAATAATAACAGAGGCGTCTCCCCCTTCCAGCTGTGCAAAGTTCGAATTGAACACTAACGCGCTGGAGACGGTGGTGAGAACAAAGCCAGTTCCAACTGCTGAATACAATGGACCTCGAATCAGCGCCAATGGAACCTATCTTGCATCAGTGGATAAATGTGTGTACCTTCGGAGTGCATCATCGGACCTCCAAACTAAGTCGGGTCTTTGGCTGCCGTAGGACTTAGTTTATCATCGCCGTGGCCTCCACCTCAATGTATCAGGCGGTCATTCTGGCAACGCTCCTGTAGTCACCCCATAAAAAGGCCAGTCGAAGTTCTGTCACTTACATCTCAGTTGCCACCGGAGAATTCCAAAGTTGTGGTGGCAATACTTGGTCCCCATCGCACACGTCCTGGTCCGAACCGGATTCCTTAGCTTCATTGCAATACTGAGGCGGATGCAACTACGATGGGGCGGCCACGTCGTGAGGATGGAGAACGAGCGATTGACCAAAGCGAGGTTCCTAAGACGACTTTGCTATGGGTGCTCGTGGACAAGGAGGACAAAAAGACTTTAAAAGAACACCCTGAATACTGTCCCCAAACACCTGCAAAAATCAGCTCGGAGACCTTGGAATCCCTCACACAGGCCTGGATAACCGTTGTGAAGAAAGGGGCAAATCGAGCAGTTCACAAGTCTCGAAGTTCATGGATAAGCAACTGAAGCCTCCAATTCCTCCCATCGTACCCAAGCCGTCAACGGACGTTCTAGCCACGGTCTTGCCTCGGACATTTCCGCTAGCAACGCAATGTCATCTCAGCAACTCCGACAGGAAACGCTTGAATCATCACCATCACCATCATCACCACCATCATCATCATCATCATCATCATCACCAACATCACCACAATCACCAGGATCACCAATGTGACAACCCTCACGGCGGCTTCGATGACAACGACCGCACCCTACAAAAGGAGAGCGCCTCCGACGCTCTGCCAACCAACGTTAACATCGGCCCTTCCACCAACTCTGTGGGCTCAATCCCGACATCTTTCTAGAGCAATCGCAGCATGCCCTCTCACGCTAACCTGGTCTGTTGCTTGAAGGTTCATTACGTTGATACGGGCAAGCCAGCCCACGTAGCCCAAAAGACCAGAGGCAGACTCGAACGTAGTGGACGGCAGAGCCAAACGGACCGTCTACGCGGACCACACACGGTCCGGTCCCTAGCACAGCTATCAGAATGCGTCGGTGAATGCGTGAGTGATCTGGCGCCTGACGCCGCCTCCGTCATACTGACAATGACGAAACTGATCACATTCTTGCTCTGGGAAATGGGCATAATTACGACGATGTGTGCCACGTGACGTGGAGTGGCCCAGTGTGGCCTAGGGATATGACGGCTGACAAGACGAGATGTGGTTGTGGGGTCTTGAGCGGAGACGCATACGGTCGGGGAGACCGATCTAGTGTCCGAATTTCCTTTTACATTTTAAACAGATGAGACGTGAGTGGCGGGCGTATGTCGGGACTCGGTGTGGTGGATTGGCAAGTGATCGAACGGATCAATTAATGGTGTGCTGTGTGACAGGTCAACATTTAGTGTTGTGAATTGAAGGGTAGGTTGGTCGAATTACCAGCGTATGGGGTCCGTAGATGTAACCGAAATGTTCATTGACATGCCTTAAACAGACAGCCACTTGTATGCAAATATTGCGTTATTTGCCCTGTTGACATCACAGGTCATAGCTAAAAGCACAAGTAAGGGTTTCGTCGATTACCTGCAGTTATATGACGCAACTGTGAGGGACTGGGCTAATCAGTGGGTTTCCCAGGGTTTCCCGTGTGCTTTCTAGTATATGGTACAATTTTAGTATTTTGTCTTTTTAGCTTTCTCAGAAAGTAATGTGTTCATTAGGAGTAGAGCCTTCGAAACAGGCTTTTTCATGCTCGATTCGAACGTCAAGCGAAATATTGGAGCTTAAATTCATACTTTACATAGGACTAACGGCGTCATACTTAAAAGTGCCCGACAGACAGTCATTGACATAAAAGGTTGAATAATTCATAACCCTAACAACGCGAGTAATAAGCAAACATTCACCTATTTTGCCAAATAATTTCGGTCCACACGCAGCACACAATTTAGTTTTTAAGGCATTAAACCTAAGAGTCATAGAAGTTTGTTGGTATGTTTCGATGATGCATGCATGTCGAAATGCCTACTAATGCCAGCATTTACATTGGTTCTAAACTAACTAAATTAAAAAATGCCTGTCAGATACTTCTGAAGCTTCAACCTCAGCAAAATCTGAAATAAAAATTCCAAAAAGGTACTTCATTATATTTAGTTTTAACATATTACAGGTCCTCAATGAATAAAATTTAGGCATATGTACTTGCCCAGCAACCGCGTCTAAGGGACGAATTTCGCGCACATTTGCAAACTGGACGCCACATCATTTCCCGACGCTCATGGAACACTCACCTATTTTGTTAAATAATTTTGGTCCGTACGCAGTGCACATGTTAGGTTTTAGACCCCAAAGTGGAGGTTATATTCACAGGTTTCACCCCAGTAAATGTTCGAAATATCTCCCACAGGGCAATTTAGGATTTTTAGTCTCAGTCGCTCACCCAGGTGAGCTCCGAATGAAAGCATGCAAATGGGCGTTAGTTTCGAAAAAATGGTATTTACAGTCTTGAAGCGAGCACGCCTAGTAAGTAAAGAGAGTACGCGCATAACCGCGACCATGTCCGGAATTTTCATTAAGGTCAAAGGGATGTTTCTCCATCAAAAATCTCACGACTGACGCGCCGCGCGCGAATATCAGAATACGTTTTGCGTAGTCGCTCCACCCTTCTCAGATCTCTCACGCTGATTGGCTTTTGCCGAAACGGCCATCTGTCCACGCCCACTCACTCGCCCGAACAACTGGCCAATTGGGGCTCATGGATTGGGCGAATCGATGAGTCGAAGGCTGTGAGCATCGTCTTGAGCAGGGGAAGTTCTTTTTCCCGCTACTAACGATGCTGACGGCGACAGTGAGTTATAGCCTTTAGATTAAAACTTTCACATTTATATTGCACAGATTTGGCGTAAATATTGTCTGCATTATATCGAGCGGGTGTTTTCACTGTAATTTGTTCTGGAAAACACAATAACTGAGGTTTAATCTTTTCAGAAATGTTGTTAATATTTTCGAACGTTATTTTTCGAATTTCTCGACTTCCGTTTTAACACAGCACGCAATATTTGAGCAAAAAACACCGTGTGAACGGTATTCTAACCGGCGAGGGACTTTCAAAATCTTACGAATTGCCCGACTTCATCGAAATTTTGAATTGCCCGTTGATATGCAACTGTCGGTCACTGATCTAAGCATGAAACGCTAAGAGTGAAAAATTTCCGATCCTGAAGCCTGGCAATGTAATGAACGCCGCGCTCACATGAATTTTAACCAGATTTGAATTCGACAATGGATGGAACTTTCCTGCCTTACAGAGGACTGCAGTTGTGAGGGTACAACCTATGTGAGTAGGTTAAATACCCCAGTACTCCAAAGTCTCTATGCCGCTGACTTAGGCGATTTACTAAGGGTGGAATCAGTGCAACTGGGTAAGACAGATGGGCATGCCAAACTCCTCATGTGGTCTGTGTCTCGTCCTGTGTGAATGAGAACGCTTTGGCGTCTACAGGAAACTATGGCATGCTCTTTCGGCCATTCAATTCCTGTGTTATTGCTTTCTCAGGCTTCTTTCCCTGGTCTTTTTTTTGCTGTGAAGAACACTCGGATAAGCAGACCTTTGGCCATTTCGTCGTCCTGCCAGACCCAGTACGTTTCTACACGGCGTTGCAGTGTTCTCACACGATTGCGCTTTTTGGTAAAAAGACGTGGTTGTGGCAGGAGTGTTCTTCGGTTTCCTGTTGCTTTGGGTCTCCCATCTCTCTTTCTCTCTCCTGATGAGCATAGAAAGTGATAGGTTTTTCTAATGGATTTATTATCCGTAACAGCTGTCATGGTTTCAATTAACACAGAACAAACATCAAGCAAATATAGTGTGGGCAGAAACTCGTAAAACGCTGAGCGTACTCTTAACTAGGCCTTCAATTGGAACAAACAGATAGGCGAGAGTGCATAGTGGACTAGGCACGACGCGCTCTAATGAAACAGAATCCACTGTAAATTCTCCCATGACAGCAACGTATCCTTAAAGCAAGCATATTTCCGGAAACCTGGGTAGCCTGCTTAGGAAAAAAACTATTCATCACATCCATAGGATTTTTGATGTCTGGATAAGTACAATCGCATCGTACAGACGGAATTACCGAAAACTGGTCCGTCCTACTTCTTTTATGTGGAATGTCGCTTTTTATAAAACAATTTTTGAGAGAAAATGCTATATGATTTTTATATTTTCTCTAGAGATTATTTGTTATAAAGAAGCTGTGTTTTCAATTTTACTTAATGTTTCCAAACCGCATACTACGCTGCATACACCGCAAACACACTGCTGAATTGAAAGACAGTAAGATATACGAATGATCTGCCATACAATTTTTCTGAAAAACTGAATAAGGAGCGCGATTCCCCATAAAACGATCAAAATGAATGAACGTTTTTTTGCCACCTTTTTTGAATGTATCCAGACACATAGAACTAACGGAGACATGCAGATTAACTAAGTAGCACTTTAATTCGTTTAAAATTTATTTTGCCGATGGCTAAATATGTGCACATTCGAAGTTAAGCTTACTACCGTGCAATAATTGCATTTGTATTTATGGTCACTAATGTTAGGTTGCGCACCCCCCCCTAAGTCATTGTTTATTACTCCCAAATACACTGAATTACTGAACTAAAATTTTATGCGAACATTCAACATTTCTGTAATTGCATCGCTTGCTGCACCGGATATCAACGACAGCTATCCAATAGATGGCGCATCTCAAGAAACTTTAATCGAAATTCCGAAATGGACAGCGCTGGAAAAAAATGCTTAAATGAGATAGCAATATGATTATCTTGCAGCATAACCACAGCATATTTGTGTCACGCCAAGGCACCGATTTTAGAATATACGCCTTCTCCGTCACTTGCGCAAGCCACGCTTGTTAATAATAAATTTCAGTGCCCTGAAAATTAAAATTCTATTTTAAAGAACAGGCGTATAAAAGCCTGTCTTGTATTCATTTGGCGAAAAACTACATTTTTCTCGAAGAAAGGACGGCCTTAGGTTTTAAAACGCATATAGCTTTGAGGTAAATAGCTGCAATGGAATGTCCGTTTACCACTATTCCTAAGTCAATGTACAAGTTGATCCAAATGAATTTTATAATTGCACAAACTCCTTGTGGCAATTGCTTAGTAGCAGCAATTTATGTATTATTTTCCTTATATGAAAAGTATATAGCTTGCAGTAGAGAAACTCTAATTTTGAAAACCTTAATGTAGGCATAACTGTGGGTAGCGCATTAAATCTCTTCAAAGCATAAAGTTCCTCAAGCATAAAATTTAAAGCTTAGCTTAACTAGCAAATGAGTACAAAAAAGGATATTTTGTGCCTACGCTCTATAACCGAGTCGGAGTTCATAAAACATGAAAACTCAATGGAAATAATCACTGTTGTACTTTGCAAGCGGCCGAAAAGAATCTAATTCAAAAGCCGGCAGCCTGGTAGACTGAATCAGGCCGAAATTATGTGTGATCCCCACGATTACAATCTCCCCTGACTAGTCCCTTCTACTCGAAGTAGGGTTTGTCGCATGAGGTCTTTCTACCAACGCGTTGGTGAAAAATTGCTATAATCCGAAAGGCAACGGTTCACATCTACGAAAGCTTTAGCCAAGACTCCAGAGCGAAATGTACCCTAGGCAGTCCTGAAACGACAACAGGCAATAACCAAATGTCCTCAAGGTTGACAACTGTGCAAACCGCGATCAGCTTATTTTCCATCTACCCGCGTCTACTGATGGCTCCGATTACAACGTGGCACAGCGCTTGTGCGAAATACGGCGTCAGTGATTATGCCGATCGATGTAGTTACCTGGTCGTCACGGAAATTCATGTCAGCAAACGGACACCAACAACTGGATTACATTAGGTCTACAACGCATTTTAATTGGACGCTACATCTGGTACTTAGACTGAATGAAAATTCGAAACGTCGAGAAGTGCCTAGCTGATTCCATACACTGAACGCCACTGGAGTACGACTGAAAAATTACCCAATCAAATCCTGCGGTTGAGTATCCTGAGCGCTGATTGGCTCAGCTAAGGAGAGTAGCGTTATGTTCCACTTTGCGTTGGCTATCACCTCGTCTCGCCCATGTAGCATCAAAGCGCTTCCTTATGTAAAGCGTCAACTCGTCTGCTTATCTTCGTACTATTTGTGCGCAGTCAAGAACTTCGTTGTGCCAGCAAAATGATCTACTCTTCTTACTGCTTCCGCGTCCATGCCCCAGCGCCAACGGAAGATGGTAACAATCTGTGAGAAGTATATTTGTACGTAGCGCCTAAACGGGGCGTTGGCATAAATAATTCTAACGAATCTTACCTTATATACGAGAGAATCTAAAGCATTTATACTGCATAAGTATGTGAAGGGATGTTAATATGAATGTGCTAAGGTATGTACGGGTTCAACATACATAAACATAAAAATACGAACAAATGGTTCTTAATTAAGAAGAGCGTTTGGCGAGCATACGCGTGCTTTCGAAAAATTCCCATCAGACCTCTACACTTATACGGGAACGAGGTAAAAACTTAAACGTGCAATCAATAACAGCAGTAAATTACGGTGCGGATTTTCACTTTTTGCAGGGCTTTCTGGAACGCAGCGTCCACGATAAAGGAGCGATCACTGTATTCTAGAATGGTATGCCTAAGTCTTCCTGTCCTCGTTCATCAAATACGCCCAAGCTTTACTTCTAGTTGGAGTGCTGCGGACAATGGTAGATTTGGTAGGGCTCTGACAGTCATTAATAGTCAGCTTTTAAAACTTTCATCGGCACTAACCCATCCAGCAGAACTGTATGCCCCAATACAGAAACATTTAAAACAGTGATGCTGACAGTCCTCTTCTTGTTCTTCTTCCTCTTCCTCATCCCCATGCTTGTCCTAACGTTCCGAGAATCTTAACCCTTCAGGTACCGTTCTGCCTGCTGGTGGCACAATTGTGTATTGTTTGGGCAGGCTCCTACGAAGGCTACCTCGCGAATCTGCTGGCACGCAACGAGGCAGCCCAGGAGGAATTTCGGCGCAACAACCCTAGCGGCCAGTTTGTGCTGGACTACCTAGGATCGCCGGAATTTCGACGTTTCCAACCCCTGTTAGCAGAGAGTGAGACAGATGATACTGATGCCGACGCCTGGGACGCCTTCCTTGCCGATCTAGCCTACGCAGCAGATGCCGCAGCCAAGGAGGATCCCGCGGCGTCTGCGCAACACTTGAGTGTGGCACCTTGGACAAAGCGTCCACAACTGAATGACACCCCGCGTAATGTCGAATTAGCGGGACAGAATCACCTCTGGGGAGAACACCGGATGAGCGGAGGCTCCAGCGAGGTGGGTAAGTGGGTGGATTACGCTGTGATGAGTGCACATGCGCAAGATGAAGATGATGATGATACTGAGGGGGAAGAAGACAATGAAGACGGGGAGGGAGAGTTTGGCGCAGACGCTGTTTTCTCTCCTGACGCAACACGTTTACTCGGAACGCCCTTCCCCGCCTCTGCATCCTCCCTGACGAAGCCGTTAGCGCATTCACCATCAGGTGTGAAGTTGGATCAACTGCCGGCGTACTGTGACCCCCCGAACCCCTGTCCCCTAGGCTATGATCCTGACAGTCTTCCAACACCCTGCGACCAAAATATCCCCAACACCAAAGAATTTAACCGGGCTTGGATCATGAGAAAGATGCGAGAGGGAGAATGTCCCTGCGATGAGGAGCACATGGAGGTGTGTCCTGCGGCGAAACCGTCATTTCCTTCGGCTGCTGGCTTCTTGAAGTCTGTTATTCTCCACAAGGTGATTTGTTGAAGTTTTTATTTCCGCATAGACATTTTACTTCCAGTCTAGGTTGCTGGGTACTCTTCGGAGTTTCAGCTTGCTCGAGCCATCTTAAATAAATGGGCTTCAAAGTGGCCTAAGGTTTTGTGAATTAAGAACAGTTTTACCAGTCACCAAACGACCAATTCCCTGACCCTTTATCAGTAGTGACTGCAGGGAAAACGCTTTAATATCACTTGCACGGTTTTATGAAAAAATCGTATCTACTTACTACATTTATGTACTATCTCTTGTGTGTACGTTCGATGACCCGATTCCCACTCTGGAAACCGCCAGCCCAACCACGTGTGCCGCCACTGTGTTACGGCTACCTGCAGTAATATTAAGGCTTTTGACTTGTCAACCCATCCTCATGCGATCACAAAAACAGTCTCTAGTTTTTTCTCGGTCACCAGATTTAGCCGAAATATTCCACAAAATATATTTAAATAATAACTATCGTTATCAGTGTAAATTGCCTGTGAAAAGTTGGAAAAAGTCATGTTTGGGCTTAATTTACAACACTTTTCCAGCGGATAATAAAAAAATTTAACGTCTTCGATCTATAATACTGATTTAAGAGAAACTCCGACTCGAATGGTGGTTTAGGTGGCTATTTCTGGTTACTACCAGTCGCCCGTCAGTCAAAGCCCAACCCTAAATTTGAATAATTCGAGGTTCGGACCTCGAATCATTGGTCATCCAGCGTTGAATACGACGATCTATCATCTAACAACGAACCTGGTTTGCTGTAGATTTCCATCGGAAATATAAGTAGAGTGAGCGGCTCGTTCATCGATCAGGCTAAGGAACATGCTTAATCTTTGCTCATTAAAACTCCATGGGGAACCGTCGCAGACAAAAATGGCTGACATGTGGGACTGTAATTGTCATTTCTTTTTGTCGGCCGTCGTCAGCCAACCACAAAAACAAGGCTCCTCTGATGTAAATACTCCGTTAATGGTAGTCTTCGGTCACTTGTTAACCGTTCAAGATTCGATTTCTTCTGGCCGAATAGACTGCATTCTCCCAGAAATGAGTGGACCCAGGGCGGCTCCAGTAAAAGGCGGAGAGGCTTTATTGGATATAAATCCCCGACTCGTCGTCTCAGGGCGGCAATGGCCACTGACAAGGCAGGGTCATGCACAAGTTTTGCCTTTTAAAATATTTGCTGCGACTGTAAGGAAAAAAATATGCGCCATTTATTTTTAATACTTAATAATAATAATTATAGTTCGGTTACACTTAGACAACTCTGTAAATCACTGGGTTTGATCAAAGTCTCCCAACACAACAGTGGTAGCAGCATAATCCTAATCTCAGCCACCAGAGCGAGAGTTCGGGGTTAAAACCTTGGGTGTGCAATGACCTTGATATGGGGTACCATTGCCTGCGGCAGACAATAGGCCTGAATTACACGGTTAGGTGTTACAACTCGCTGCAAACAGCATGGCTCTAGTCAGTAGCTGCTGGATTCGTACCAGTCTGGAGGACAAGAAAAAATATTTCACCAACCTTCATCCCCTTAATGCATTTGCTATGTTACGAAGAAACTTTTTAACACAAGAGCTTTTTAGAAAAAGTAGTCGGAAGGACTGATCTCAGCTTCGGGCAAAGCAGTTACGTTCCACATCCATATGATCGTAGAGAAAAGCTGCTGGTTAGAGCCGAATCTTCATCGAGTCCAGTTTAAAGACACCAGTCATTCTCCTCGTCTTCCTTTCTTCTTTGTTCTTATTTAGCCCCACAAATTGGACGAAGTACTGGATGGAGAGAACCCTTACCTTCGCGGTCGCCGACGATCAAGTCTGGTAGCTAAGAAGTTTGGCCGTCAAAAGAGATTCAGAGTGAGTTTTAACTCTGTTTTCTTCATTGGTACTGTTTTGTCCTCTGAGTCCCTCGAATGCAGTCGCCGGTTCAAGGCAGCCACTGAGTTTGTATCAGGACTTCTGCTTGTGGCTGGGAGATTTCAGAGAAAATTTGCGTGGTGCAGTTGTGATCGTGCCTGATCCAGCCGGCGTAGGCGACGTCACATACTGTACATCTCGACGCACGACAGTCTACGTCAGGAGATCTGGACAACGCGACCCAATCTCTTCACCAGTAACGAATACTGGATACTGAAGGTTCCAGAACCACTACGACGTTTTGACGAACCGTATCGAGTCAGGTCTTCGGTTGGCGTCCCCAAGCTGGTAACGCCGCGGCATAGAGAACAAAGATTCAGAGTTCTTGAGGCGGGCGACAAAGAACTTGGCCTAGCTATATTGCCGCCGCAAACGAGGATTCTGTGATTTGATACAACATCAATAGGTAACTATTGGGAGATGGCACTCAAAAACCTCCGTGACCTAGAAATAATACCTACTCTATCTATTTGAGTAGGCTATAGCCCTACATATTTGTTCTTCATTCAGAGAATGGTTATCAGACAGCGGTAATCACATGCCTCCAGTTTCCGCCCATTTCCATTCACAACAATGGACGAGGACTGACCGGAACGGTTCCCGGTACACGTGGATCTTCGTGGCGATGGAGATGTTGTGTCGGGTCCAAAGGCACTTTCTAAGGATTAAGAAAACCCTGGAAACATCGTCATTTCGGGAGACCGTGTCGTCCTTGGTCTATCCACGAGGCAGCCGCCTCGTCCTGAGGTTGACAGTCACTTATGCCGAAAGGTGCCGTCTCCTGGTCAGGGATACAACTCCAAATCCATTTAGCCTTCCCACCTTTTTGGGATGAACCAACCGAAGTAGCGGCCTCATTCGCCTGCGGCATCGCAGACTGTAGCTCATCAAAGCTTGAGGCTAGGAAGGCCATGTGGTCAGCGTAGTCGAGATCAGTCAGTTTGCTTCCAAGTGAAACTTCAACACCGTAAAAAACGTATAGGGTCCTTCCGAAAATTCAGCCAATGGAGTAGTTGATCAGTGTGGCGACAGGATACAACCTTGACGTGGCATAAACAGGTTGTCTACCGGACGCCCGCCTTTAGCTGCAGGTTCCGCGACGGAATTTAACACGACCTAACTGATTTTGTAGATGTTTCTGACTCCTCTTTGGAAAACCCATGGACCATCTGACCGGCTATCCCGCTCTACAACAAATGCTGAACATGTAGCGCCTGTGGACGCAGCCTGGAACGGCCGCTGGATTCTGCTTCCTATAAAAGATACTTCGGAACTTAGAGAAATCACCTGCACTTGAGGAGTCGGAAATGTCCTAACAAAAGCCGAGATCAATCTGCATCTTACTACTTAACCATAAGTACTTCCTTCGTATGTTGATCGACTCTGAAGCCTCTTTGGTAGTTCTTTTTTTCCTTTGATACGAAGCATGCGGGATGTCGTTAACTCGAAAATACCTCTCATTTTTTCAGTGTCGTCAGAACCTTATCCTACTTTATGGTATTCAAGGTTAGAACAAAGTCTTCATCAAATACCGACTTCGGTAATTTGATTTCTGTACTTGTGATGCGTCAGTCTCAAACGACGTTCACTACCGCTGTCGGAGAGAGCAGAGTTGTGACTTCCGTGTGAATTGATCTATGAATAAGTAGCTTTCGCTTCACCCACCCGCAGCCTCTTTCCAAACTCACCGTGTTCAACTGGCACGACAGTCTGGCCGACTGATCTCGGGCAATTGTACAAGATTGCATATTACACGCTACTAACACTATTTAAGTAGGCATATTTTAACGATCGCCTTATTCCAAATGATCTGAATGAGTGAGGCCAACAGAATTTTGCTGTATAGAAATACGATTTTTGCACACCGCGACTCGAGTCAGCTTACGGATTCTGCCGCGATTAATGACAGGAGCTTTTCTTTTACCTAGAACACTGCCGTTAAATCACCCGCCCCCACGCTTTGCCAGAAGTCTGGACGCTCACTTCGATTACCGGCCAAATTAGGGTTTCATATGTGTTCAGTTGCCAAGATAGTTCACGAAGAATGCTGCGCTAGACCTTCGCTCCCTATTTACCAAGCACGCAGAGTGGCCGCAGCAGCTAATCTGTCACAGTGACCTTTCACGCTGTCTTTCAGGGGCACGTAGTTTTTCTGACCAGGTAGATAACCAATCTGAAGACAGCGCTCGGACATCCGTCACTTCATGCATGAAAACGGTATGTGTCCTAGACAAACAGTGCGTCACTCCATACCGACCCAATGCAACTGAATTCTAGACCGACTGGTATGCGGAATGGAAATTTCGGTAAAGTTTCTACCAGTTCGCATCGCGCTCTCCGCAATCTCACCGCAAACAGCCCCAAGTTGGGCAGACAACTCCTAGATGACAATCAGATCCTAAAGCATCACTGTAGATTATTAGAGTACGTCTTAATTTTGTCCAATAATCTCTTTAGGCACGCCGTCATCGCTTGAACTCCTACCTTCTTGGACAGCATCGCAACATTGTCAAGAAGGACGGCCGAAGAGGGTCACAGCAAGCGAGCTTCCGATGATCGGCTAACCGGGGGCTTCCACGTGCACCAATCTCATCGTTGTCTAGACATGTGGTTAATATCTGTGTTTCGTGCTGGAAGGGTCAGTTTCTGTCCAGTCTCGTCATACTGTTCACCACGGCATTCAGTCCCGCCAGTACAGCTCTGCTCTGGCTAAGATCCTCACTTTCATCAGACGGTTTCTTAAAATTTCTCTGTCCGTTGCATCTATTTTGGAAAAATAAACATCGCATAAGTTGTCTGTCTTATCATCCAAGGCAAAGCGGCGTTTGTGGCACCAGTTCCTACCCCGATCGGGTTTGATTTGAATTGCGGATTCCTTGGTTGCAAACGTAAAGGTTGCCTGCAGGCCAGGCTATTCCGCACGATCGTCTACATTGCACATCAGTTTCACCCATCATTTTAACATAGGTCGACGCGATTCGACGACTTTGAACTCACGCAATCGGCTGACAGTTGTCGAGCCCTTCAATATATATAGATCACTAATGGGTGGTGTGTAGTTTAGATGCGGGTATTACACTGCAAATCGATTTATGCGGTGTGGATTCGTGACCAAATGTGTAGGGGCAAGCTGGTTACGTAGGAAGCGCCCAGCGTTTGGTCATCAAGACCGCAGGAATTCACGGGTGTCGGGGTCTGTCTCTCAGTTTACTTATGGGCTACCTGAAGAACCCACAGGTCGAGAATAGTGAAATGACATTCAACGAAAACTACGAGAAACAGGCTCCCCTGTCCAAATTAACGGCCACCTGGCACATACCGGCGTGATCAGTCGCCATAAATCCGCGACAGGATAAAGGGAGGTTTTACAGCATGATGAATACCACCATCCACCCAAAGAGGTCTTGGTTGAGGGATCTGAGACGACAACCTCCGAATGCAATTTCCACAGGAAACTGTTCCTCAGCTAAGCTGCTGTGGTCAACATTGTTGAGATTTAATAGCTTTGACAAAGGATAGATCTCGTAAAACAACGGCCTCTTTGTAGGACTTTGGATCATATAAATCTACACAGTAGCGGGAAAGGATGAGAGTTAAGGAGGATTTAGCTCCTGACACGGCCTCGTTTCTGCACTGGACTTCGAACAACCGCCGAACAAACTCTAGGCATATCTACGGTGTAAGAATCCCTGACGAGAAACCCTTCAACCGCTGACCGACTGTCAAGTAGTTCCATCAAATTCCGTCGCCAAAAATGAACTTCCGGTCGTCGTGTTAAGGCGTGTTCGATGCATGGCAAAAATCAGGCATAAAGACACAGAAATCGCGTGTGGAATTGCTATTGAAATGCTTCGAACCCTTCTTCCAACACCGTCATACTCGCCATACACAGCGATTTGAATTAACAGGAATCTACCGGGATTATGTAGCATAGAGTTGGGGAGCGTGTGGAGGTGTAAGAGTTTCGTAAAATTCGCTCTCACGCAAGCCCACACACGCACACAGAGAGAATGGTTACCCATGAGATTCCGTGCGTCGACTCATAAAAAAATAGGAGTTCGGAAAATAGGAACTAGGTAATTCCAATCAGGCGCCCAAAGCAAACTCCTGGCCAATCCTTCTGAACATGAGGAATGTGTCCGAAGTCGTTGAACGACGCTTCACATAACACCAAATACAAATGGCACACAAACGGACAACCAATTTAAGCACTAGGCCTGTATGCCCTAAAGATGGGGTTGGCTACCTTGATAAGGAGAAAGACACCTACACGATCGCATGCAGTGCCTGCGATGCCGTATATTGTGGCCAAACAGGAATATCCGCCTCTAAACGAGATCCGACTAATAATTAAGAGGCGAGATAATCTGTCCGAAGTGGCCATGTGTACCCTAGATACCGGGGTACACCTTCGCCTGGGACAAAACTCGCATCGGGGCGTCTGACCTACCAAAAAAGGCTGGGAGTTTCCTGAAGCCATGCACTCAAATAGGTCATAGATAAATCGACATATTGAGCTAGAAGCCATATGAAAAAATCTCAGGGAAAAGTAGAAGGGATTTTAAGGGTGGGGCTGCGGGAAAACAGCGAAGAATATGCGAAATCGGAGGAGAAACCGCAGGTATTATCGGCAGACATGCCAGTTTGTTTTAGTGTATACTTAAACATCAGCATAGGCAATGCGCAATACAAGAAGTCATTGCAAGTAAATAGTAAAATCAGTTCCACAAAGAAAATGGGTGACTGGCCCGTCAAAATCATCGCAAATAAACCGCCCAAGATTGTCACTAATCAGACGTTAGCCTTAGATGGGAGTCGTAGAAAGTGGGTCTGCATAACTCCGTAACCCCAAATCCAGCCTTAAAAACTAATTCCAACCCCGACCCTATCCATAACTCTATTCCTAACTGTAAAAACCCGAACCCTGAAATAATTATGAATCATAATCATAGTAGTCCACGGAACACCTCAAACTGAAAGTACCCGTTAGTAGTGCAGCGCCTACTGAAATAAACGGTAGTAAGAAAGTGCTGACTTGTTCACCGAGGAGGACCGTGTCTCCGAGCCCCACCTGAACACGCATTGAATTTCAAGCAGGTTTAAAAGATTAATGGTCTTTAGCTCATATACCCGACACCTGACCACTTAGCGTCGAAACTTTGCCCAATTACGTTTCTTATTTGCCCCCGTAGGACGCATTGGACCTCAAAGAAAGACATATTAAAAAGTAAGAGGTTCTTCGAAAAAAGGTCGAGGTGTGCTCGTGAGGAGGGGCGACTTGAGGAAACACCAAATAAAAGTGGCGCACAAACCGACGACTACTTAACGCACTCAGCTTGTACACTCTAAGGATAGGGTTGGCTATTTCGATAAAAAGGAAGTCGTCTATAAGATCCCATGCGATGCCTGTGATTCCGTATATTGTGGACAGACGGGAAAATTTGCCTATACACGCATCCACGAACATCAGCTGACAGTTCAGAGGCGAGACCACCTGTCTCAAATGGCCATGCACACCCATGATACTGGATACACCTTAGCATTGGACAAAACTCGCATCGTCGGAATTCGCCCATCTTAAAAAGGCCGAGAGTTCCTTGAAGCCATGCTCCCCGATGAATCATGCACCAATAGGCACATCGAGGTAGATGCCACGTACAAAAATCTCGGGAGAAAGTGGAAGAGACGAAAACCGATCAATACGGACTGACACACACGACGTCCCCTTACTGGCTGAAGCACCAAATGAATATCGATTTTGCAGCACGCTTGAAAGGTGCATTGTTTTTTGCAACTTCACTCGAGTTTGACGACGACACGGGAACCGACGTCGAAAATTCACTCAATAGAGTTTTCTCCTTTTCTCAAAGAACGTATTTGCTTTCAAGTTATATTTCTTGGGATGCCTGCGTGCCAATTCATTCTTAAGAAGGAAATATAGATGAATCGACGCAACAGGAATTTAAAAGATTATATTGGCGCTTATAAGAATGACAAAGGCGCGGGATGTCGTGAAGCGGCGTGTGAACGGCCGTGCTCGACTTCCACAACCATAACAAGCTGCCCGCGGGCAGCGCCAGGGGCGGAGTCGATTGGCACGACAGCAACCAGAGGAGCCACAACGGACGCTTCTTCAGCCGTCCTGGCGCCAA